CAAACATCTGCGTCTAACTGAGCTTGGGTGCTGGCTTCTAAAAAATTGCTTGCCACCTCGATGGTCTCGTCATCAATTTCGATATCATGCAATTCGTGGACTTCGGGTTGGTCACTGAGATGTGCTATAGGTGGTATTGGCAAGTTAGAACTTGTTGTATAGGTTGGAAAAAACATACGGGAATGTAAGGCGAACGCACATTGGGCAACTATAGGCCATCCTCTGTAACAAAAACACAACAGGTACATTAAAAAAATAGAGGTACGACAAACAAGACCAGAATGAGCAAAAACCTATGATGAAATTCCAAGTTAGATTCTTAATTCGCACGAGCCAAACAATTAAATTCGAGCCGACGACATTTTGAATATCGTCTTCAATTGTGCTGATATCGATCGTTTCTGCAGTTGTCCTTCCACTTTTATACTTGTAATTTAGTTCGTTAAGCTCCGAAATTGTAACTAACATATCATTCAGGTTGGTTGTTAAAGTATCTTCTGGGTTTGCTAAAATTTCCTCGAGAAATGAGTTGTAGTTTTTATAGTAACTGCCATTAATTCTGAAAATTCTCGTCTGTCCACGTGGTGATTTGGTCAGTAAAATTTTATTGAAAATAACGTTACTGTAATAAATTTGGCCAAGCTGTGTAGATCGGTTTGGTAATTTATATGCCACAATCGGTGGCGTAGAATAGAAATTATTGAAGAAAAGCGTTGGTAGAATTGTAAAATTTGCGGAAATACAATGTAACTCCATGGGTATGTCACCGTGAGAGATCCCGTGGACTTCACGCCTTAAAATTGCAGATAATATTTGTGAGGGATATAGTTGTGCAAGTGGCATCATCAGGTGCGCGACTAATGATTCCACACGACATTCCAATTCATGAATTCTGTCATATAGTTGAGCGAATAATTCTGCATCATGATCGCTCGACTGTTGTACAATGGAGACGACTTTGGGAAAACAAAAGTTATCGACGTGATGCCAATTGGCGGCCACTCCTTTATGACGTAATCTGGCAATGTCGTTGCATTTGCCAACTACGCGTAAAACCAAGTCATCGTACGTACAATAGACTTCGTTGGTTTTAAAGCATGATTTCGTTCGTTGAGCACAATCCCTAAACGTGTGAAAGCTTTGTCTGACTCTCGGTATTTCTAATCTGTATACTATAGATTGCCCGATGAGTTGTAATGTAACAAAAGTTCGGTAGCATTGAATTTCGGAGACTCGCGAGCTCTACATAGAGCATTCCATGCACTACTTACTGCATGGATATGAGTACTACAATGATAATTAAATCCATTAATGTTTTCACAATCGTTGTAAGGGACTGATAGGCTTTTATAGGCTGATGTCAAATCTTACACCGGCATCTTTTCCCGCTTATGATCCATATTATTGGTCTCTGTTCGAGTACAAATTTATAGCTATCTTGTAAGATGCTAGCATATTTCTAATTTCACTGGTATTGTACTTTGTTTTTGATATTTCTCTAATACCATTGTTGATATTCAATGTATATTAATCTGTCATTGATGTACTGAATCGATTCATAATACTCTTGATTTCAATGCGGTACATATGATGGCCAACTCACAATGCTCCTTATTGCCACGTTACTCCCATTTATTTTATTAAGGGAACTTGTTCTCCTCAGATTATAATTTTTTTTTCATATGTTATGTATCCTAATAACTTATGACGATTCTAGCACCTTACCTAAACACTCGCAAACACCTCCGACTGGTATTACGCTTTCTTAAAGGCATTCTTACTCTCCTGAGATATATATATGAAAATTTCTATCCAACAAACACCGGCGTCACGATCCATTATGAGCAACGCAGTAACAGCAATGAGTAATACTTTGTCCGCCTTGCACTCTTTCTGCTGTTTCCATGGTAACTTGAACATCGGTGCTGGGAGTCGTTATTTGTTTCTGTGTATCGGGCGCCTCCTGGAAAATCAGGTCGCCTCGATTCTAATTTCTTCCTATATTCTTTTGCTAGTTTTTCTACTTTTTATGCTATTATCAATTACTGTTAGGTTTTTTTCACGGGTGTCGCTGCTCGATAACCAGTCTTGGTTTCTCGCGACTCCTATTCACCTCGGCTTACCAGTTTCGCCTCTTTTTACATACTGTATTGATTAGTGTATGATGCTTCATGTATGGTGGATAAAATAAACTACTGATTACTGATTACAAACTTTTTAAATAGTCATATTTTCAAAACTGTTACAGCCACAAAAAACCCAAAATATGAAAGTTGTTCAGTTTTTTCATAGCTATCTAATAATCGGATGATTCGTTTTCTATGGGGCTCGATTAAAAATATTAAATAAATGATAAAAATCAAGATAAATGAAAAAATGCACGTATATTACGTTATGCTGATGATCGTACGTCGTTGCGTAACTACAACGTGTCGCCGTGTGTGTCGTCGAAATCGCGGCCTCCAGCTGTGCGTCGCAGCCAACGTCATTGGATGTGACGCCAGTACTTATCACAGATGGGGTATGGCCGATTCGTTTCAAAAAAACATGACGAAATTCCAACTTGAAAATGGCGATGATGCCGTCTTCCTGCGGTCGAACAAAATTTTGGCCTGTACTTAGCATGATACGTAGAGCAGTGGCCTTGTTATCCACCATTCACACAAAACTCCTACGTTACAAAAAAAAAAGTTTGTTCAAAAGCTGCACAAAACGGTACTACACAAAGCGTGAAAAAAGCCCGTGTATTGAGATTTACACACGGTGCATGGGTGTGGTCGATCACATGGAATGAAAACTTATTTGTTCCCTCACAGAGGACTAGGAGTGGTATTTCCGAATCTTCGATGCCCCTTGATAAGCATTTGCATGGTAAATGCACATATTCTTGTATAGTGGAGTCCGGAAAGATGAAAAGATTTGAAAGATTTTATCCACGATATATGCCTTGACTTGTTAAAACCTCGCTTCTGAAACAAGTTTGCCAAGCCCATGCCAACTGTAACTGTAACAGTAAATGCACCAAAAAGCCAACCACTGGCCAACTCTTCGAAAAAAATATCATGATTGCGTGCAATGTTCAGATCGACAATCTCGACGACAAGAAACCAAATATTTTTGCAGGGGTTTGTGATGTTGCTCTTTGCCCCGCAACATGTACAGAGTTATATCACATGAAAATACATAGTCGTTGACAGCACCTTTATCATTGTCTATTGTTCCTTTACCTCAATTTCCTGTTTATTTCCATTCACCCAATCTTTTTTATTTTTGTACGTTTTATATTTCCTAGTGTTTGTGCAATATACAATTGGTCACCGCATCATTGTTGTGTTTTATATATTTTGAGAGGAGGACCAAAAATACTTGTTATTATAATCCATGTTTACAATCCACATTTGCCACAATGGACATATTTATAGGAGGCCGAAGAAAAACATAGTCTACTTTGATAGTTGGACCCACCCCGTTTGTATCCCAAATATAATATTAGCTCACAGTGACGGGATTTATCATCAGAAGCCAAACGTGACTATACGCGGTATGATTGAAATTTTTCTGGTAAGCGGTAGAGTCAAGATGGACAGGTTCGCCCCGGTCGGTGCTTTTCGGAAGACGCAAAATTTTCGAGTCTATGTGCATAACCTACGGCCGTTGATGATGAAATCTTAGGCCAAAAGGTATTGGATTAATATAATAAAAGAATATATGTTTGAGGCTGGCAAAGTTTTCCTGTTACGGAAAATCAAATTATGTGTCTTTTAATTGCCAGGGTGAATTATATTACCGGTATCATAAGCAGTAAAAGTTGTGAACACTGGATTACTCCATGATCGAGACAACGGCATATACCATTATTTGTGTTATATCCTTTCTTGTGCCTCTACCTTCGAGGTCATTTGCATGGGTCACTTTCAAAAAAAATTTTCAATCAACTGTTAGGCACTATTCACGCAGGGCTTTTTACAATGCTGGACTACTATTTGGTTAAATAACTTTAAAAACCACTTCTTCAATCACATATTTTTATGCAACCTAATATCCAAAAAGTTGTAAAAAACAACCTTGAACGTGAGAGTTTGTGTGCCTAGTAGAGGGTTAAAAATTAATTGTAACTAAATAATTTTTATTATGACGTTTTTTTTCTCTTATTTTACAACAAAACAACTCCACAACCATTATTGTAGCTGAAAAGTTAACGTGAAATGCACATCTGCATTACAAAATTTACAAATTCAACACCACCTCAGTAGACCGTTTTGATGACGTACACCGTAACTATTGTTGCACTTCTGCATTGCTTCCTGATGCAACATATATTACTTTTTTCAACGATAACACGCGTAGCGCGACGTAAACAAGCCAATGTGCGCCATTACAATGAAATGCACGATGAATTTTACGTTTTATTCTTGTTTAGGATTTTACCACCTCCCTACCAAACACCACTGGTCGGGTGAAAGTCATATTTTCAAAACACTACATGACCAAGCATGGAACAGATGAATAAAAATACACTCTAGGGCAGGGGTCGGCAAACTTTTGTCGCGGGCCGACATTAAAGGTTGTAAGTCATTGGCGGGCCGCACATAATTTTAAAAAGTTAAAAATCCAACAAAGGATATTTTTTATAATAAAAATCAAGCAGTGATACATCTCTCGAATAGAATATAGATTTATTCATTTATTTCTTCATTGCATTATATCTCAAAATATTTCATTTTAGATATTTTCTTTTTTGTTGTTCTCATTTGTCCAATTAGAATTAAATTAAAGGCTCAATAAACGAGTAAGATTAGATTATGATATAATTGAGGCTACACGTGCCTCACAATAAATCATGTTACGTAAAGAATATAATTGTCAAAACAGCTGTTTTGTTACTATAATTCGGTGAAGCAATACAAAGTCCATTAAACACAACGCCTTCAAATACGACGACTTACCCCTTTTGGAAACAGTATCGTCTAATTTAAAAGCGAGGCTCATTTCATCTATTGTTGATCTGATGACAGGAGGAAGTTCAAGTCCACAAAACCTTCCGTGAAATTTAGCGTCGTCACTCAAACCACTACGGATTTCCACATAATCGTATTTACAAACCTGGATTTTTGACATAAAAATTAAGAATTGAAAAATCTGAGGAAAAATTGATAAAACGCAATGTGAAATGATATAAATTTATTTGTATATGCGCTGCTCAATTTGAAGAACTTATTAGGTGTGTATTCAGGATAATTGAAAAAATCTTCTTTAGCGGGATAATGATACACAACTATGTCAAATATAGATTCTAATAATTTCAGTGTTCTGACATATTTTTTCTGTAATTTAGTTCAATTAGGATGATCCTAAGCAAGTCTAATATGCGATAAAGCGTATTTCGTTGATGAATCAGTGTTTTAATTAAGGTTCTACATCAGTGAGTTTAAAATAAATTATTTCTATCCAAAAATGTTCGTCTTATTTTAGACATAACACCCAAAATGATAAAATAAAGTCACATAATACCAAAAAATTCAAAACACCACTATTATATCCTAAAATTACGAATTAGTCATTTTGTAATCTCGTGAAATTCGGATTTAGTTCCTAAATTGAGGAATAATACCAGATGATATTGCAGCGGGGAAACTAGCTTCTTCCAACGCATGAGTCAAAGAAGATGTTGGAATATAAGCCTCGCTTTGGGTGTAGTTCATGTTTGGGCGAGCTATTAGTTATAAGCAGACTCTAAATAGTACAGCCTCAATAATGATCCTTAAATTGAGCATTTGAGACCGATGATTCAAAATATAAGCGACAGGGCGGAAAATGTCTGAAAGTTTATTGAAGCCCTTGTATCAGTATTTCTCCTGAGCGGATCCCAAATACGAATAGGCAAAAAATTAAGATTGATTCGTGCCTTATCCGCTTAAATGTACTGGGCGACACTGGAATGCCAGGATCTACTGAAACTACATACTAGCATGGCGGTGCATTATGCGCAGGCAAATGACGCAAGGAGATGAAGCATTTCAAGCTAATAAGATAATATTGCTATGAAATAGTGGAAAATATCGTAAAAAGTCATTCTACATCATTTAAGCTCTTTGAAAACGCTACGACGCAAAATATGCTTATGTATAAAGTGCCAGTGATAGCTCGCAAGTTGCGAGTCGATGTCAACTAAATACGACAGCTGAAAGCTTTTCTAGAAAGGACAAGTTCCGAATGTACAGATCTCATGATGTTTCAACCTTTGAATGTTGCGCTTGCAATCAAAAATATTCGGAAGCTGAATATCTGCGAAAAAAAGAAAACCAACCTCATTTCCTTCTAATTCAAACTTTTCAAATTGAATAGAAATCTTATGTTGAGGTGGAGCTACGATTTGCCAGACACATTTTTTGTTTGTTGGATATTCATTGGGCCAATTCGGTGAGGTGATATAACCATCCAAATTTGTAACGGACCCGCCACAAGCAGCTTCACAAGTTCTGAAATATGAGCATTTTCGAAAAATTATGATTATATTGATTGTAAATCAATTTATAAGCAAATTAAATCAGGATAAAACTTTTTAAAATAAAATTCGTATGTACTGAGCAAATATTAGTTACAATAATTAAATAAAATCAGAAAATAACTAAATAAGTGATCAACCACACGTGCACGATGGCGATCCGCGAACAGTTCGTTATCGGTGCCTACAGTTTTCCATGTTGGACGCAATTTCTGGCCCAAATTGCCAAAAAGGCAGCCGACATTGTTATTAACGACTAATTAATCAAATATTATTTTCGAGAATAATATTCCATAAAATATTCAATCACTTTTCCGAATATCAGATAAAATTTGATCTGAAAATCGCAATTCGTATACTATTTATTCAACAACTGAGTTTATAAGCATGTTGGATTACCTCGTTGAATTTTGGGGAACTTTGCATGCCTGACCCAGTCGCACCAGTGCTTGATTCAAACCCAACCTTCGATAGAAATACAAAGTATATATATTCTATACCACGATCTATGTCTGAGCTATTAATAGTCTTACTAATAGGCTTATTTTGAGCAGAGCAAAGTCGTGTAAAACATCATGAAAATCAGTCGCGGCGCGTGGTCATTTTGACAACCGGGGCAAGCTACTGCGGGACCAAGTCACCCCCATCTACGGGGACAGGATGAGCGCTGTAAGTTCTCCCATCATTTTATGAGTATAAAAACCATTCCATCGGTAACAACCAATCGGCAAAAGCGACAATTTTTAACGATAAGAAAGTGTCTTTAAAACCGGTCCAAGTCAAGGGATTAATAAATATAGACATAGTTTATTTTGAAACCTCTTTCAAAAGAAAAGGCAATATTTACCCAAATAAATACAATGACATATTAACAGAAACTTCGGGAAAGCAGACAAAAGCTAAAATAAGGTTTAAAACGTTACTATGAAGAAAGGAAAGGTAATGCAAAGATAAGGACATGCGTCGCTCACTCATAGATATATATGCTGCTAGACTTATACTGCTTGAACATATATGCAACACGCCGCGGTTTCTTGGAAGCACAATGCTCAATAACGCGCTGATTAAAGTCATGCATCTCAGAAATAACGTCTCTGTGAATGGATAAAACAGCCAAGGAATTTAATCTATATTGCTTCATTGTGTTTCTGAGATACTTTTTAATACGCTTCAGCGTGCTGAATGTTCGCTCTGCGTCGGCGGAAGAAATAGGCGTCGTCAAAATGATGTCCAGAAATTTTGCAAACGCCGCAAAGGTAGTTACTAGAGTGTTATCTATGAGGAACCCGTAGAGCGCGCAAGTTGATGTGATGTTCAAAAAAGTTTGATTGGTGTATATACATCGCAATTCATTTTCCAATTTACCCACGTTTAGCATGGGGTAAAATTTGGAGACAGTAACCAACAAATGGATGGGAAATTGACGTGCAAATTTTGAAAAATTTTTGGGTTCATCAAAGAGAACGCGGCAAGGTGTTCAGTGCGCAGACGATCGCCTATTTGATTCACCAAAAGGTCACAGCATTCCTTTGCAGACCAAAATCAAACGCTGCGTTGTTTGCCCGCGGCGTAAAGAAGCACTCCATGTGTCGTCGTATTTTATTGTTTCTCGGATACGAGATACAGCATCGCAGAAGTCTGAAATACACGACTGCACAGACGCTCCATCCATTAGCCTTGACTGCAATGCGCCGTATAATACATCCACGTGATAGAATGTTGTGGAGAAAAAAGCGAGAAAAAATGAAAACTCACCATCTTCTAGCAGACGCTTTAGACCTGCCGCCTCCCTCACAGAGCGTTCGTCCCAAACCGGAGAGCTCTGAATGCCATTGAAACACTCAATGAGCTCAGACCTAATTTCGGACACGCCCTGCACCACGCGTGATTGGAAGTTCCAACGTGTTGGTGCACAAGCTGGGAGACGGCGGCTACATATCTGGCGAAGGAGGTCAGAGCGCTTCGGCGAAACGGAAAAAAAATGAAGAAAACCCCGAAACATTTGCAAAAAATATACGGACGAGAGGGGTATCAAGACCCCTTTTTTTAATAACGAGGTTAAATTGGTGTGCATAACAATGTAAAAAATGCGCATGAGGAAAATCTTCTTTTATATAAACTTGAACACCATGTTTCGACCCACTCATGACTGCCGCGCCGTCATAAGTTTGAGCTATCAATTTTGACTTCGCGTTGTAAGGCTGTAACACTTCTTTCAGTACAGCCGATATCCCGCAAGCCGTGCGATCAACGATTGGTACAAAGCTGTGAAATCTCTCGGTAGGTTTACCATCTTTCACAAACCGAAAAATCACAGCCAGTTGGGAAACGCACGTGATGTCAGTTGTCTCGTCAGACTGAATCGAAAGGAACTGGCAATTCTCAATTTCCAGAGCCAAATGTTGTAAATAAATTTTATACATTGAGTCGAGCAAATCATTTTGGATATCCTTAGATGTCCCTTTCGAAACAGTTGCGGCATCAAGATGATCTCTCAATACTGTATCTAGGGATGCGGTGTATTCCACCATATCCAAAAATATCCCTCTATTAGAAGAGCCAGCCCGTTCATCGTGCCCACGGAGGGACAGCTCGTGACAACCAATGAACTTCAAAACATCTATCAATCGACCGAGAACATGGCGGTTTTTCTCGACGTTTTGGTTGTGCCGACGAATAGAAACCGCGCGTCCTTCATCCAACTGTGCTGCAATATTAACATTTCCGAATGTTCGGTATTTTACTGCATTGTCCAGATGCTCCATAGAAGATTGATGATCCCTGGCACGCTCGGTAAGATGTTTAAGATCTCTAAAACCAAATTTACACCAACGTGAGTCACGGGCGATAGCAAAAAGTAGGCAATAAAAACAAAAAAGTGCATTTTTGTCCTCGCCGTAACACAACCATTCGTGTTTTTTATACCAAGTTTCTGCGCAGAATGTACGCCGACGCTTTCCTCCGTCATGGGATTGTTCCAGTGAACAATTTTTTGGTTGATAAGGCCCAAGACGTTGTATCTCTAATTTTTGTTCCAGCGGCAGCTGCGAAAACGGAGTGCGAAGTAGTGCATCAACCTCATTCATTATGAGGTCTAAGGATAAGAAATGCGAAGCCGGAAAGAAGTGAGGAGCTCAAAACGAATGTGGAAATTCGAAAGCAAATGGACTAAAGGTCTCTAACTGATTCAAATAGCGAAACAAGCGACAAAAACGAAGGCGAGGAAACTATCAACTCTGCAAGCAACCAACGAACGAGAAGGAATGCGTGAATATGTCAACACGTTGTTGTAAGAAACGTCGGCATTGTGTCTTCATAATTTCGGGGCTAGCCCCGATGATTTAGTAAAAGAAACAGAAATCAAACGAGACAAACGCGGCGAGTGGAAGATAAAAGAGAGAATACGATATACAATGAGCAACCAGGGCAAAATCGGCGTCGCCCCGTCGACGTTCGGCGAAGGCTTTGCGAGCAAAAAATGAACCATGTCGGGAGAATATGGCTAGTGTAGACAGTCTGTGCAACCGATATTGAGGTATTTTTCGAATATTTTTTATTATACCGAAAAAACAACCGGGGCAATCCCTATTGACGCGCCGCCACTGGTAAATTGAAACCAGTTCAGCCAAAATCACAAGCTGTTCTTCTTTACTGTCTTTCTTAACGAAAAACGAAGACAAAGTATTGTTTTCTTTCTGCAAAATAATAGTCCTTTTGTGTTTTAGCATGACTAGACACGGCGGGTTATTTACCGTCATATTTAACAGAAAAGTACTGTTGGCAGAGTGTGCAGTTTGCAGTAAATCCATCAACTTTAGATAGCCATGACATGCCTTCTTCTTTTAACCATTCTGAACGGAAAACACAATATCGTTTGGCAAGTTAGACTTTCTTCTTGGGCGGAGTTTGTTCCAATGACATGAGATTATAAATAGTATGAAAAATAATGAAGAACTTCTATAACACCCGTAACAATAGTGATTTAATGAATATTTACCACAAGTGAAGTTCCTGTCAAATGTTCAGGTTAAAACTTGTAGTCTTTACAAAAAGATAGTAATCAATGAACTCTCGCTAAGACAAAGAGCTGTCAGCAAGGCGTCCTAAAATAGAAGTGTGAGCCTGAAAACTGACTGAATAATAAAAACCGTCCCATAAAATAGCTTCACACTAATGACTAATAGTGCATTATCAACTAAAAACAAGAAATACAAAATATTGTTCTATATAAAAATACTACACACCGTAACTTTAACGACTAAATTCCTCAACAAATCACACTGGATTAAGTTTTTTGAAGCTTTGTCTTATCGTACTGTACTAATTAAAAAATTAGTTTTTGAACTATTTTTGGTTTCACTGTTTTATTTTAAAGTTAAATACATTATTTGCTGTAAAATATGGGTTGCTACATGTATATTATAAGGTTAAAAGGTTCACTAGTGCTATTTCCTCTACATATAGGCCTAGCTTTTTCGCCAAAGCTCGTACTCTATATGTGGTCTTTAGGGAAACCAAAATACTTTCACACCTAGGCTAAACGTTAGGCTAAATACCAATTTGATTCATACAAACTAATCAATCTAATCCTATCTTCACATTAACGTTTAACCTTCTTTTTTCTACTTACTTTTTACCGACGTAGTCTACAGCTAAAGAATCGTATTAAAACTACCTGCGTTTATTCAATTGATATAACAAGTTGAATAAGCCTCTCAAACTAAGGTGACTGCTGTATGTAATGTTATTATCCATTTTGCAATTGTCTAACTTACTTGATTGTTATGTCATAAGGAAGTCACGGTTGACGAAACAACATGCCCTACCCGCGAGGTTTCAATTCACTTTTGTTTAAATGACCCATACAGATGAAATCGTTTTTGGACACGTAGTGGACATAACGATCGTTTCAATATTATGTTGTTGTTGTTGTTGTTCTTGTTCTTGTTCTTTGACACGTTTTTAAAAAGTCGCTTTTCTCTTTGATTACTGGACTAATTGCTTTGAAATTTTCAGTGGTTGAAGATGAAATTTTTCTCCAGAAGGCTATTACTTTTATTTATTTCAAATATTCCTGTTAGCTCTGTAAGATTTGTTCTTGTTTGCTATGACGTCACTAAACGTTTTGCGGATATCGGACGCCATTTTGTGTCCAACGGACCATCTTGCAATTTCAATTCACGCTGTCACAAGACAGGAGTTCTGGTACCGTAACACAGCGCGGTGACACTGAACTAACTCGTAGCTGTCAAAAGCTTGAAAATCCATACAAGTATGAGAAATAAAAAGATGAAACTTGGCAGGTGGGTAGAGTTGTGTTTCTTTTAACCATATTTGAAAGTTTCGCGTTTCTACATTTGAAGGAGGGGGAATAGGGGGGGGGGCATTTCCGATACGTCAATAATATCTTTGTCA